AAGAGTCTCTCATGGGAAAAGAGTGAACAAATTGATGGTATTGGTACATTTTGAAGCAGAAGATTAAACATTTTCATTGCACTTGCAAGTTGTGCTGATATCTAAAAATCGACAGTTAGAATTTGAAACATTTAACACTACAGTCATTTGATTCTGATAGATTTATTTCAGGTATTATTTGCTACAGTTTTTGGCTGAAAGTAGAGAAGGACTTCAGAATAATTCCTATTGGATCACTTAGTAAAAGTGGAAATAGTTCAGAATAATGCCTAGTTTTTGATGAACTCAAATTCCAATGCAGACTTGAAAGGCATCCTTATTCTAATAAAACCTGGAAAAACAATCTCAATGTGAATAAGCTGAAGTCAATTTAGTTTCAATTTTAATGAAGTTTAACTAAATAAAACAGTTACCCAAACTATGAAAAATAATCACTGAGCTTTACTCCAATTTGTAACAAAGTATTTTAAATTGTTTTTAAGACACTTGATTTTTCTCTCTCTTTAGTGGCTCGCACTTCAACTGCCGTCATTCTCTTCAACCCCCAATGCCACTTTATTCTCTGTTGGCTAAGATGACAAGCAAGCATCCTCTTCCTAAACCTTACAATGCTATTCTTGCTACAATGCTTTTTGTTGACTCACTGGCTGATTGTTTCTCCTTCTTTCTTTCCTTATGGGAAGCATCTGGCTTCTGCTCAATGCCTTTGCTTGGAGACAATGGCCAGGATCAGAAACACTCAAGGTGGAAAATATCAGAAATGAATCTGTACCCCGGCTTATCATATTGAACATTTCCCCAGCTGCCTTCCTTTTCATATATTTCTGATTAAGTTCCTATTAATCACTCAACCAACTGAAATTGTATAATGAAACCCTATCTGACTGATTTTGAAGAGAATTTAGCTCAAAATTTATCCCTCGAAGTACACAGACTTTTGTTTAATTTTATTTGCGTATCCTGGTGATTAGAAGAAATCCTTTGTCAATAAACAGCCAAGCTGCAGTGAATATAAGTGCCTGCCATGTGTTCAGTAGGTGTCAGGATGCATAGCGTGTTAATTGCTGACCTATTAATAAATGAGTCTTTAATACAGTACAGCTAGAGGCAGGGGATGAGGCCAAGGGTGGAGACAGCTGTTTACGTGACATCTGTTTGTGCTGGTGCATGGCTGTAACAGGATTTCCCTGCTGGAAATGTGTATGCTTTTTTTGGGAAACAGTCACAGTAATTTGTATTGTTTGTGGAAGGTCTGGGGACAAAAATAGAAGCAGAAGTAATTTCTGGCTGGGATCTGCTTACAGCTCCCTCCAATCTTTATTTTAAATTCGAGGAAGTTGTTTCTGATTGTAAATATTGTCAGTTGCTATTACATGAGCAAATTTATTGTTACTATCTGCTAATTCTTCTGTGTACCTGATCAGGGATGTGAAAAGAAAGTAGTAGAATCATGTTCACACTCTATTTTCCTGTCCCCTCTTTCAATAAATGCTGAAAGGACTGAGTACTGCAACAGCCCTATCCTGCTGCCCCTTTAATCGTGTAATTGTGTCTATTTGAGATGGCTTACAGCTGTTAATGTCTTTCTGTAAAGCCAGATGCTTGGTGACTCATTATGCAAAGAAAGCTGAAAGCAGTGTTTAACTATCAGCAGCAAACTTTTGAGAACTCACTGGCTTAGCAGCACAGATGCGTATGAAACTTAGATACAAACCTCTTTGTTGTCTAGCATTTCATTTTCTTCTTCCAAGATGTCAGCTCATCTATTAGACACCCTTCTTCAGCTGATAAGACACACACACATCTAGATTTCTCTATGTCATGCAATACTGTGCTGTGCTGATAGGACTCATGCTTCTTGATACTGATGCCATTCTTTTCCTCCTTTTTCTGATTTTGACTTTCTATGCTTCCTTCACCACTAAAAAATACAGAAATCTGTCAAGTATACATGTCAGCAGGATAGGATATCCATGTTGTATCAGGGACGTTCCGGTTAAAATCCATGGTTTAAATCAGTTGTTCCACTGAAGTATTATGAGTTGCCGTGAAATAGCGTCAATTGAAATTGAAATATGGTCTTGTCATTGGGCATAAAGACACTTTGATGATTTTTTCTTTGCAAATTGATCGTCCCTTCTCTCAATCCAAGTGCTTGGCTGACCCCAAGTGCTTCCAATATATTTGGGAATTATTACATTGTCTTGTGACTGTGATGACCATGAACAGCCTCATACTTTGGAAAATTTAGTTTAATTTATTCTTTGAAATGTTCTTTACTTTTAGTCCATTTTGCTAATTCAGTGCAGATTGCAACAGCCAGTTTGCTTAAAATCATAAATATATATTCTTAGCAATAACTAAGATGTAATAGCATCATTTTAATTGACCACCATAAGATAATCATTTATCAGCCACTGGAGACTAAATGAAAAATGTAGCTAGGTACCTATTTAGAGGAAATTGAATCACAAAAAACTGGCATCCAAGTTCAGCAGATAATGGGGAAGGCAATTAGAATGTTGACCTTTATTTCAAAGGGAATAGAGCATAAAAATAAGGAGGTTTTCCTAAACTATTCAAGGTACTCTTCAGGCCACATCTAGAATACTATAAGACCATATGAAATTGGAACAGTTTGGCCTCTTGAGCCTGCTCCACTATTCGATAGGATCATGGCTGATCTGACATTCCTCACATCCATGTTCTTGCATTTGCCCTGTAACCCTTGATTCCTGTACTCAAGAATGATCAAGAAAGAAAACAGTGGAACAAGAGAATCTTGGATCGTGGATCTTGCGGCTGCTCCTGAGTTGCAGGATTTTCTTGTGGATTTCTAATGGATAAGTACACGAATAGGAAATATTTGGAGGAATATGGGCCAAACGCAGGCAAGTGGGACTAGTTTAGTTGTGGATTATGGTCGGCATGGACTGGTTGGACCACAGGGTCTGTTTCTGTGCTGTATGACTGTACGACTAAATGAATCTGTTCTACAGCTCTCTGTGGGAAGTGAACAGTTTGTATACCTTATCTAAGGAAAGAAATGCTGGCATTGGAGGCAGTCAGGGAATGTTCACTAGGCTGATACCAGGTATGAAGGGGCTGTTTTATGAAGAGAAGTTGAACCATTTGGGCTTGTGCCCATTAGAATATAGAAGAATGCGAGGAGTCTTGATTGAAACATACAAGATTTTTAGAAGACTTGACATGGTAGGTTCAGAAAGATTGCTTCCCCTTGGGTGACAGTCTGGCATCAGAGGGCATAACCTCGGAATAATACAGAGATGAAGAGGAATTTTTTCTCAGAAAGGGATATGAATCTGTGGAATTTTTTACCACAGAGAGCAGTGAACTGGGTCATTATGAATATTCAAGGCTGAGATAGATATTTTTAATCAGTAAAGGAAACGATTTAAGGGGAAAAGGTAGGAATGTGGCATTGAGGATTATCATTTCAGCCATGATCTTGTTGAATAACAGAGCAGACTCGATGGGCTGAATGGCCTACTTCTGCTCCTATCTCTTATAAATGTATGCTTTTCTGAAATGATATTTCGCTATGAAGGAAGTATTTGTTTATGTTTTGTCTCTCCTTATTGCTACATCTTTTCCTTTTGAAACTGCAGATTAGCAGATGCCCCTTACAATGCTATTGCATGTTATTTGGATAAATAGGTAACATGAGCCATAGTCTCCCTTCTTCATTCACAGTCTGGATGAAGCATTTCATGATGTTCCATTACTAAGATCCAGTATTATCTCTTTGGACCAAACTAGTATGAGGACAAGATTAACACCAAGTACTGTAACTCTGCAAACTTTCTTGCCCACTCCTGCTTGGCCTAATTTTGTAACAAGCATAGCAGGCTTTGAGCAATATTTCACCAGTAAACCAGACTTGCTGTTAAAGAGAAATTCTGGTGGTGCTGCAATAAAATTGTCATTATAGAAGCAAAAGAAGCAGGAGAAAACTAAAAAGAGCAAAATGTCCTTGGATATCTGCCTTATATTTTCTGCCAGCCTTTGCTTTAGGACCAACATTATGAGAGGGAATTGTGCTCTCAATGGTATCTTCTTCACCAAATAAAGCATTAGAGAGCATTAGAGCATTCATCAGGAATGACTGCCACCTCACTTTTTACTACTGTCGCATCTTCTAGTTATCAACCGCTGGTGGCTTGTGTTTGGGTAGTTTGCTGTAACCAAGCCTCTTTCTATGCTATGCCTAAGGGCACATAAATATCAGCGGTAGGTGACAGACCTCTAGATAGTCTAAAAAAGAAGAGGTACTTGTTTATGTAACAGGGTGTAGTTTATTGCATGGTAGCAGTGAATAAACGTAACATAATTATAATTCTCAAGAACCAGCTGTTCACTTCTTTGTCCATGGGGACCTCATGAGAGACTGAACTGTTTCTCTACCCAGAGAATATGTGAAATCATTGGATTGGGTGGAGCGAATGCAAATTCCACATAAACTCTTTCAGAACGATTACACTATACAACATCCGATATCCTGCCTGATAAGGGTGGTATAACAGAGAAAAGTCCAATTCAAACTGTTTGCTTCCATTTCTAGTCGGCCATTCAGCCCATAGAGTCTGCTCTGCCATTCAATGAAGTCATGGCTGAAATGATTATCCTCAACTTGGCATTCCTACTTTTCTCCATAAAACGATTCCTTTACTGATTAAAAATATCTCAGCCTTGAATATACATAATTACCTAGTTTGTTTCCCGTTTGTCTTTTTTGCATAGTTTAAAGAGTAAACATACCAAGGAACAATAGAGGAATGCTGGTGATGTATTGATATCCCATTTTATACATTTAGAAGAATAGGACATTTGGTTATGGGCAAGAATAAGCTTGAAAGTAAACTGGTGTGTAAACATGCTTCATTTAGTTTAGAAGAGGAGGATGGAGAAATCATTAAATCTCAGGTGGCTGATGTTAATGTGGTATTTTGTATTAATTTTTGTGCTATTCTTCTAATTAGGTAAGAAGAAAGCGACGCTGTATGACACTCAAGCCCCAATTTGCCCCATCTGTCAGGTGCTGCTCCGCCCAAATGAACTCCAAGATCATATGGAACAGGAACTGGAAAAGCTCACTCAAAGCACGTGGTATGACATATTTAACTTCCTTTTTAACTAGTGTCAGTAGCATAACATTGAGGAAACCACACATACACACAGGGAGTTAAAAGAAATTATAGTGAACTATCATGGAAGCAAGCAAGCTGATAAGATTTACACACAGATTGTCTGTGTTGTCAGCAGTGATGGAGTGCACAAGCACCCAGTCACTCAGGCTGGGTTTGGATTGAAATGAACATCTATTACTGATGAGTTAAAGACCTGGCTTCGATATTCTCCTTTCAGCACCATTTATTGCCTGCATTATTTTTTGGGTCTTTTTTTTACTGTTTTCTTTAAGTTAAATTAAAACATATAATTAACCCGATGGATTGGAAGAGTTCCACCATTATCGTTTTGCATGTTATTATGTGCAGAACACAGTCCAGTTATTTGCATGAAATGGCTGTCTGGTGACAAATTTGTTAATGGCTAGTATTGTCGTGTGGTGTAGAGAACAGAATGAGAAAAAGTGATATATATACTGCTTAGCTGGAGAACTGGCAGCCAATTCTGAGTATGAGCCAAGACTGTAGTTGCGCAGATTTGTTTTCAGAGGTTACTTGTGTTTACATTCCATTGACAGATTTGGGAAATAGTTTTAAAATTGATCAACAAATTTTGTTTGCTCGAACCATAAATTCTAGACATCCAACTGGCCAGCTTAAATTCACATAGGCAATGAAACTGTCCAACCAAACGTAGCTCTATTGCTGGGCCAATCTGATACAAGGTATAAATTTTATTTATTACATAACTATTAAAAAGACAAATGTATTGAATCAGAACAGACCAATATCTTTTATTGTTCTGTATAGAAATTAATGCTACAGTTATCCCACAGCTACCTAAAGCAAACCAGTATGGGCTCTAACCAGTACCTTGTTTAGCCAAAACTCCAGTTGTTATGCCCTGGAGAGAGCTTTATGTATGCTTGCACAAAGTCCATCACCCAGCGGTTAAAGTTTAAATGTTTGGAGACCATGCTTGAATTGACTAAGCATTTAAATTAATGTCGAGTAGGTTTAAAGAGGGCTCAGAAGGTCCAAAGGAACCCCTTGGGCATTTTTAAACCTGGTTTGACATCTTGCTGTACATACACTCCCTTAGGTATCAAACTGAAACAGTTCGAGATTATCTCTGCCAGAAAGTCTCACAGCACCTCTCTCAGGCATTGACCCAGATCTAGACTGTAATTTTAGTGTGGAAGGTGTTTCCAAAATTAAAAATGACTGTGCTCATTGAAACAAAATGTTAGGTAAGACTTTTTAGAAATGAATGTTTTACCAAACAGCAGTTTAATTTCTGTAAGAAAATATGCACATAATTTTAATTAGTTATTTTGAGTAAAACATCTATTAAAATGCAACAATATATTAAATACTACTATTTTTAGTCATTCTTAAGATGTGGGTGTCATTAATTAGGCCAACGTTTATTAACCATTCCTAACTGCCCATTTAAGGGAGTGACAAGCAGCCTTTTTGAACTGCTGCAATCCATGGAGGGTAGAAATGCCACAGTGCTGTTAGGAAGAGAGTTCCAGAATTTAAACCAAGTGACAGTGAAGGAACTGGAATGTAATTCCAAGTCAGGACATTTTGTGAATTGGAAGGGCACTTGCATCTACAACCCTTGTCTAATGAAGGTCACTGGTTTGGATAGTGCTGTTGAAAGAGCTGTGATGAGTTGCTGTCGTACATCTGCTGCCAATGTCTATCAGTGTTGGAAGGAGTCAAAATTGAAGGTTGTGTATCTGTTGCCAATCAAGTGGATGTCCTTATCCTGGACAATATCAAGCTTCTAGAGTGTTGTTGCAGTTACACTCATCCTGCCAAGTGCAGAGTTTTTCATCACATCCCTTGTAGATGGAGGACAAGCTTTGGAAAGTCTGTAGGTGAGTTATTAATGCAGAACTCCTAGATTCTAACCTGCTCCTGTAGCTACAGTATTTACCTGGCTGGTCCAGTTCAGTTTCTAACCAGTGGTCTAACATCCAGCACATTAATAGTGGAGGTGAGGGTCAGGTTGTGGTTAGATGGAATTGTTCACGATCGGCAATGCTACTGAAATGTTTGTCACCTTACACTTCTGTTGTGCAAACGTCACTTGCTATTTATCAGTCTAAGACTGATCTTGCTGTTTTTGGACAAACATGACTTCAGAAAAACATGGAAAAATAGGAGCAGGAGTGGGCCATTTAGCCTTTCAAGCCTGCTTTGCCATTCATTATGATCAAGGCTGATCGTTCAGCTCAGTAGCTTGTTCCCAGTTTTCCCCCATATCCTTTGATCTTTTTTGCCTCAAGTACTACATCCAACTCCTTCTTTAAATCATGCAATGTTTTGGCCTTGACTGCTTTTTGAGGTAACAAATTCTACAGGCTCACCATTTTCTGGGTAAAGAAATTTCTCCTCATCTCAGCCCTAAATGGTTTACCCCAATTGTTAAACTGTCACCCCTGGTTCTGGATTGCCCCATCACTGGGAATTTCCTTCCTGCATCTACCCTATCCAGTCCTATTAGAATTTTATAGGTTTCTATGAGATCCCTCCACGTTTTTCTGAACTCTAGCGAATATAATCCTAACCGATTCAGCCTCTCCTCATATGTTCGTCCTGCTGTCCCAGGTATCAGTCTGGTACAACTTCGCTGAACTCCCTCTAGATCAAAACCATCCTTCCTCAGATAAGGAGTCCAAAACTGCACACTCCTGGTGTGGCCTCACCAAGGTGCTGTACAATTGCAGCAAGACATCCCTGATCCTGTACTTGAATCCTCTCACCATGAAGGCCAACATACTATTTGCCTTCTTGACTGCCTGCTGCACCTGCATGCTTACCTTTGGTGACTAATGTACGAGGACACCCAGATCTCTGTGCACATTCCCTTCTCTTAATTTATAGCCATGCAGATTCTAATCTGCCTTCCGGTTTTTGCTCCCTAAATGGGTGACTTCACCTTTATCCGTATTATCCTGCATCTGCCTTGCATTTGCCCGCTCACTCAACTTATCCAAATCACACTGAAATATCTCTGCATCTTCCTCACAGCTCCCATCCCACGCAGCTTTGTTTCATTTGCAAATTTTGAGGTATTACATTTAGTTCCCCCATCTAAATCATTAACATATATTTTGAATAGTTGGGGTGCTAGCACTGATCTCTGCGGTAACCCATTAGTCACTGTCTACCATTCTGAAAAGGACCTGTTTGTTCCTACTCTTTGTTTCCTGCATGCCAACCAGTATTCTGCACATTTTGGTACAGTACACCCAATCCCACGTGCTTTAATATTACACGTTAATCTCTTGTATGGGATTTCATCGAAAATCTTCTGGAAGTCCAAATAAACCACATCCGATGGATCTCTCTCACCAATTGTATGAATTATATCCTCGAAGAATTCCAGCACAATTTCAAGCATAATTTCCCTTTCATAAATCCATGATAACTGTGTCTGATCTTGCCACTGTTTTCTAAGTGCTCTCTTAAAATGGACGCTAACATTTTCCTCAGTACTGACGTCAGGCTGACTGGTCTATAATTCCTGGGTTTCCCTTTATAGGTATATCAGTATCAGTACCTGAGGAGTTGTATATGTTGCTGAACATTGTACAATCATCAATAAATATTCCTGTTTCTGATCTTTTGGTGGAGAGAAGGTCATTGGTGAAACAGCTGAAGCTGGGTTGGGCCCAGGGTATTACATTGAGGATCACATGCAGTGAATTCCCCAGGACAGAAATGATTTACATCACATGACCAAAACTACATTCCTTTGTGCTAACTGTGACTGCAACCAATGAAGTTATCTCCTTCATTCCCATTCTCTTCAGTTTAGCAAGGGCCAGATTTTTGTGATACTGTTCCTGTTTAAATGCAGATTTGCTGATGTTTGAGAATAGACTGAAAGAGCAGTAATTGCCTGGGTTGGATTTGTCCCAAGCATTTTGGAAGAGACATAGCTGGGTGATGTTCCACATTGCTGGTTCAATGCAAGTGTTATAGATGTAGCATAACAAGTTGCCTGTGGGTGCGCTAATTCTTGAGCATAAGTTCAGTGTATTATTGCTGGAATGTTGTCAGGACCCATCGTCTTTGCAGTATCCAGTGCCTTCAGCTGAGCCATTATTTTACGACAAGTGAATCACATTGGCTGAAGTCTGGCATCTGTGATGCTGGGGACCTAAGGAAATAGATCATCCACTTGGCACTTCTGGCTGGAGATAGTTGCAAATGCTTGAGCTTTGTCTTTCACTCCGATGTATTGAGATCCCACATCACTAAGGACAGGGAAATTTGTGAAATCTCATCCTCTTGTTAGTTGTTTAATTGTCTACCACCATTCATGACTGGATGTGGCAGGATACCACAACTTATATCTGATCTGTTGGTTGAGGGACCACCTAGTTCTGTCTATCGTACGCTTTTTGTGCTCACGCAAGTAATCTTTTGTTGTCACTTTACCAGATTGATACCTAATTTTAGGGTATGCTTAGTGCTGCACCTGGCATACCCTTCTGTACTCCTCATTGTACCAGGGTTCATCTCCCTCCTTCATGACAATGGTGAAACGGTGGATATGCTGGACCATGAGGTTATATTTTGAAGTTTAATACAATTCTGCTGCTCCTGGTAACTCACAGAGTTTCATTGCTGTTCATTTTGAGTTCACAGTTCTTTTCAAAATCTGCCCCATTTAGAATGGTGGTGGTGCTATACAATTTAATGGAAGGTATCCTCAATGTGAAGATTGGATTTTTTTCTCCAGTTGTTTGTCCTGTCAATGTCAATAATAGTGTCTGGGAGATGATTTTGTGAGTGTTGCCTGACTAGTCCATGACAGCTCTCCCAATTTTAGCACAGACCCTTAACTGTTAGTGAGGAGGATTTTTAGGATCTACGAGCCTGGATTTGCCATTGCCATTTGCTGTAACTAGGTCAATGCCGGACTAATCTGCCCAGTTTCATTCCTTTCTTCACATTTCATTGATGGATCTTGACAACATTTGACAAAGATTTCATGGTTTCCATTAGTCTGCCTTTTAGTTCCAGCCTTTTATTGATTCCATTCAAATTCCAGTGTTTGACATGGTGGATATGAAGGTACATTCCTAGAACTTTAGCCTGGGCCTTGTCCAATACTGTTACTATTACACTAACAGTTCCACAACTAATTGACAACTATGTCAAGTAAACTGATGCTGTAGTGCGTTTTTGGGGGTTGTTTTTGAAACTTTTACCCAAAGATTATTTAAACTTTTATATGCTAAATCCCTGTCATGAGTTAGTCCTAATTTCCTACATATAAAATGAAGGAAAAAGGTAATTTAATTTTATCGTACATTTGTCACATGTTCAGGAGATCCCAAAGCTCTTTATAATTTTGTGTAAACAAATCTGGAGACGAACATATGCTCAGCCATGTTTTGTCAATGCCTTCATCCATACTGCTGTTTCAATAAAGACTGTGAAAAACAATAGTCCTTACACCAATTCCTGTAGGATTCCGATAGTAATCAACCTGCAGACATTACCACTGTCACTGGCAATAACCTTCTTCCTGTAAAGATTTAACCAAGAGTTGGAATCCATGTAAATGATATCAAGCCTGAGCTGCCCTCAGTCAATGTCTTAGTAATTACCTCAAGATATTCTACCAGTTTGGTAAGACATGCCGTTTTTTTTTCAAAGCCATGCTGATTCTCTGGTAATCACTCCATCTCCATGCACATGTTATGCAATTCTAATCGTCCCTTGTAGAAACCTGCATATATAAAAATAACTGTCCCAGTGAAATCAAAACCCAATTACATACCAGGAACTTTCTCTCTCATGTTGTTTTAAAAAGAGAACACTGTGGCTACAGAAATAGTTATATGTTAAACATGGAAACCCCTTCAGACATGTGGACCAAACCCACATGTCACTAGGCCAAATTCCAAATTCCAAACTCTCAAATAAATGATATTAAAATATAGATAAATCAAATCATATCCATATGCACTTTGACTTATATAGCTTTAGATTGTACACAGCATTATTGGTGACTAAGTAACCTATTGGAATGAAGACTGATATGGAATATCAATTTGAAACGTTTGCTGTTTTTACAAGTTTACCAGAATTTGCTAAGCACAGTAGACTTTTTTTTTGACAGTCAGGGAGAATGAATGTAGACCAGGAAAACTGACAATAAAGTCTCCCTTCTTTGCTAGCTGTAAATGAAAAGAGGTTGGGATGTCTTAACCTGTAGCGCAAAATTGGTTCATAACTCAACATTAATTTGCTCTTAATCATCATTTTCACTCAGAAAGGCCATGAGGATGGCTACATAGGGGAACGGAAATATTCACACTAGTGTAATGGTCAAAGTGCTGAGAAAGCACATTGTTGGTGTAGAATAGGGAGAACTTTATTCAGCACCTAAGCTGACATTGGAGAATATGATGCTGATTGATATCACAATTCCACAGTACATTAGGTTACATTATATTATAGAACATGTACATTACATTATATTTCAACTCGTGCACAGTACATTATGTTACAGTACATGTTCATTACTTTTTATTACTGTACTTATCCAATATGTTACTATGCATTACACAGTGAAGTGAAAAGCCTCATGAATGTAGTGGTCCCAAATACAAGCAGGCAGACACATAGGTTAGAAGGAATACAACAAAAGGCTACAAATGGCATTCTGCCAGGACTGTATCCAAGTGGATTTTTGTACCTACTGTTTGTGCAAATTTCAAGCAGGTAACAGATTATAGATGTTATATCCTCTTTCATACTTTAGTCTGTTTGATATTCTATTCCCAGAATCAGTGAATCGAAGTATTCCGTATACTCAAAGAAATTAGAACATAGAAAGAGACCATTTAACTCATTGTGCTTATGCAGGTGCTCACCATTCAGTTAAAATTGTGGAGCTGTTTACTCTAACTCTAAGATAGTGGAAGAAATTTTAAGCCCTGAAAAGTGATAGGTTTGGGTTGGATAAGAAGATAAATGGTTAA